TAAAGTATTATAATCTACGATATGATCGAGGGATGAAATCACTAAGTAAGCTTACTTTCATGTCTCCAAAACCGTGCGCTTATGTATCTCATCCAAGAATTACGAATGTTAACGCAACCGAATAGTACCCAACGTTAGCACAATTTGATGTACTTACTTTACCTACAGACGTGCGAACCTAATGCTACTAATTATTTAGCTTATTTAGGAAAGTTTATCGAGAAGCCATTATCAAAATAGGAAAACTAAACCGATAGTAAGCATCCGTGCACAGGTGGAACAGGGTTAGGGTTAGGGTAGTAGTACAAACGAGTACGAGCGCGATTATACATACTACTACAAATAAATGATTGAATATGAATATGCATTTCGAGTACATTTCAGTTCAATATCATTCGGGAAGCAACCAATGGAAAACCCAATGCAAATCAGTCCAAGAGTCTGAAAATCAATTGAGACGAATGAATGATTGATAGGGCAAATACTATGCTCTCTGATAATTAATACGCTCTTTAGTAGTTAAGCAATTATCAAAATCTTGGACATTGTTTAACAAATTACGCACGCAACACTATTCCGGAATTGTATGACGCAGAAGATCAGGCTGCAATCGACAAGTCATGAACAGCAAGTAAACTAACCTGTGGAAAATTCCTTATGTCAATTGCTTAATTGCTTACCTAATTATTTTGATCCATCTGCTGATTAAGTTAATTCTCACACAGCTATTCAGCACATTTTTATTAAAACTGATCACTGATAAAGTAAAATAAAATGAATTCATTTTTATATGTTTCCAGCAATCATTTCCACTTCATCATTTTATTTCATCGGTTCTCATCAGTGAACGGTATAAACAATAACTAATGAATCTATTCCACACCTCAACAGGTGTGGTAAGACCTAATTAATAAGTGTAAGACTCGGGAGTCATTGGAAATTAAATAGTTATGGGATAATTTGATTTGAGAAAAGCGTGGACAATTGTAACACACCCTATCCCTATTGACCATGGATTTACCGCCCATCCACCCGTCGGAATCTCCGTGGCTTGATGGTATCAGTTCGTTGTCTTTTTGACGTATGAAATAAATATAACTAACACTTACGAGTTCCAGCACTTTCAGCAGATTTGACGTCTCCTTGAAGAAGCACCGATGCCAATGCTATCATCCTTCCTCAAATAACGTTCAACACTAATGCTCTTAACAATTTCATATATCGTACGTTTATCGATGAATAATTGAAATACGTATATCGATTTATTGAAATACACACATATATATATATACATACATCAAATTCACCACGTCATTTATCGGTGAACCCTATATATAAGCAAAAAAAGAAAGTACGTGACATGACGTAAATTGCAACGACATAATGTAATATGATCCATAAATCTTTCAATTTCATCGATGCTTCGGAAAACGAAAAAGTGGGTGAAATGAAAAGGATCTCTTCCCATCGATTCTAATTCCAAACTCGCAAACAGTTAATTAATCCCTTCGAAGCATTATGATATACCGCTCTCGGTGGATCCCTTCCTGAGTCGTTTTATAAATGATTGTGTCATCAAAGACAATAGAATATTCATTGCTTCTTAACAATTTTAATATTTTTGGTTTCTAGGAAATTCTGCATATCTCTTTTGGCTGAAAAGAAGCAAAACTCGCACCTCGTCGAAATCCAACGGTCATTTTAGAGTAATTAGTTCTTATATATGAATGCATGGACTGTAGAAAAGATTTTATTAGTGATTTGATCCTATTCGTCGTTATCGAATAATGAATGCATATTTCGATGACAGATCTTTCGTTATTAGTTATTTGAGGCTTATAGTTTCAAAAGCGCTCATTCTATATTTAATCATTTGAGTAAATACTATTTTACATTCTTTTTTATTCCGATAGATAGAAGTGAAAATTAACTTAATAGTTATGTTGCCGCAGTGAAATAATTAATAAGTCAGAAGGATTCGAAATCGACGGAGAGTTCTTCGTAATTTGAAAATTGTTTTTGACATGCAGCTTTAATAACTAACTCGTGCAATTGTTACTGATGTCTTGGTATATTTGGGCTTGAGGACGATAATAAACAACAGTAAACAAAAGGCCTTGCCTCGTCCGATATCACTTCAAATATCACTTCGCTTAATTAGATTTATTGCTGTGAAATATTTTATTACTCACGGAATTATTTGTTTACATGACAGTATTGACTACAAATTTCACGTTGAGACAATTTTCACGTCACTCCGATTACCATTAAAACACCCATCAATTGGTTCAACTAGTAAGAGTAAGTGATAGAATGAAGTGGAAGCGTGGCCAGTTCTACTTATAAAAAATTGTTGAACCAAGTGCTCTTCACCTTTTTTGTGGGTGCAGTTTATCAAACGGGTCATGCGTCATCATCGGTAGTGACGTAAACATACGTTTTACATGGTTTGAAGAAAATTTTGAGGTAAATTACCGAGACAATAAACGAAAATTCTCCAATTCCACCTGATGCATATAAAAAAAAAATATGTTTTTTTTTATTTATATGATCCGATAATAGAGATACCGTACCGGCGCAAATGGTTCTTTTTATAAACGTTTGCCGATCTGCAAAATGACTTTTTCGAAGCAGTGCATTTGACAATGATAGCTGCAAGGAATAAAACTGGAATAATCAGATGTCATCTTAATAGATTGAAGTATTCCTTTCGTTTTGAAGTTACAATATCACATACCACGTACGGATCAAGCATTCATCCCTTCAATATAATCCAACTTCTGCTCTATCTCGCTAGTGAAATATTCAGGACGTGTTTTGGCGGAATCTTTATTGAGGATACAGTTCGATCTCGTATATTCATGGAAATGTATTACTGAACGACACGTGAAACCCAGCACTTCCTGCACATACAAATAATCAATATTTTACGACAAAAATTTAATTTCAACTCTTGATTTTCGCATCTGCCAAGACACATGATTTGGAACTGTACACGTCATTAAAAGATAGACCTGATAACATATTTTTGAGAAGTAAAGTAACCACTATAACTTAGTGCGAATTTCAGTTACTGTGTGAAAAAACTCAACTTCACAAATGACGCTAAATCTTATCGAATTTTTAATTCCATTGATCGTAAACACATTTCGATACAGTAATTATGAGATGAAGCATCGACCACAGCGGTTGCGTGTCCGACAAGTATGTATTGAGGTACACGACGCAAAATGACTGCGCAGTTCCTGTGAACCAGATCTATGAAAAAATCTTTTTAGTGTTCAAATCACCTAAAATTTTTCATCAAACGCTTAGGTTTTGTAGATATGAAGTTCTAGCGCTGGATTAGAAATATATTTGAATCCTGGGAATCAACAATCACATCGATTATGTAGGTATTAAATTGCTACCGGATATGCAGATCTTTTCGAAATATACCACATCCTTATTTGGAATATAGTCAGCATTTCCAGTTGGACTAATTGATGTATTGAATAAAATGCACCGTTTATTGATCTGGTCATACTGGGCACTGCGACACTTAATCGGTAATAGACTTCCCCTACTCCGCTAGAAAACGAAATTGAAAGAGAAATTTCCAAATCGCAACATTTTCGATTAATATGATTTTACTGTATGCAGTTATGTAGTCATAGAGTGAATCATAAAGGTAATTGAGGAGAATCTGTCTCTTTAAAATAATGGAAAAAGTGCTATCTTATTATTGGCGCATGTATATAGGCATACATCCGACGTGTCTATCTGAAATGTTGCTGGGCCCTCGTCAATCGCTTGAACACCATCGGTCGCTCAATATAAGTCGAAAAACCAGGTGCACAATTTGTGAGATTATGTTTTGTAATAATATGTTCTAAAATTTTGTGTTTATTTCTCAAGGATATAAACTTAATCGCATCCTCTTTTGCTTTTATGATAAGAGGTGTAGAGCTCTCCATTTTTGTGGCCTCTTATCATCTATCTCGAAATTATGATCATTTCTATAATTAAAGAGGAAGCAAAGTGTAAAAAGAACCGACACCACCATCAAAAAGCGGTGATAAGCATACCTAATGCACTGTTGGATAGATCGGCAGCAGCCTGGAAATGATGCTGTTGTTCGTTCCTGGGAGAGTAGTAGTAAGGTGCTGATGCTTTAGATTTGGATGTATTCACTATTGACTTATTGCCTCTCTCCACGGACTTTCCCCGTTCACCTACATTGGTAGTCTTTTTGTCACTCGGTGCAATATGTGCTGGCCGCTCGGAAGTAACGTCCCTAGTTACGTAATCCGGTAGCCCGGAGTTACAATGATCGCTTAGGAGTACGAGGGAGCCAACGGCTGGTGTTATGGATGGTACGCATGATTTCCTTCTAAAATGCAATCCCTTTTGTTGCTTCTTATTGAATGATATGTTATCAGTGCAATGATTCATCTTAATGATAAGAAACTGGTAACAATGCATGCCGATAGCAAGAAAACACACAAGGATAGTGATAATAAACTGAAGTAGAATTTCTGTCTTCTCCTACGATCTCAATTTTTGTCGTCATAATGCGACGTCCTGAAAATGCATGATATACGAACTGCTCATAATCACTTAAATCGAACTGCAGTATTCATTAGTAGATTAATTAAAAATGGCAACAAAAAAAATACAAAACGATCTGGTCTGGAAATCTCAATAAAAATGATAGAAGTAATGTCAGAGGTCATGATGTATCTTCGCACCTTAATGCAGATTATAGTGGGGTACAGTTATGACTTGGGAATTTATTAGAACCATTAAAAAATGGTTCGCAATGCCAGTTATCAAATTATCCCTTTCAATTCATAATTAAAAGGAATTGAAATTGGTGGAGGTAACAAGTACTTGAATCTTTTCTAATGCTTGTATATCATTTTGAAAAGTCAGAAAGCAGAACAGCAATTGCTGACTGATTGAAAGTTGCTGCTGGAACAACTGCTGATCAAATGAAATTCGACGATTCACGCAGTCTATCAAATAACACAGTAAAAGTGTTCAATTCTTGACGACCTCATTCTGTTGTATCGACATGTTCGGGCTGACACTTGCAAGCACAGATCACCACATTGATGCTCGTTGAGTGGAAGACGTCGCTCGTAAGCAGTAGCACACGTAATTCGTAAATTGGGATATGTCTGAATGCATACAGCTTGTTTACCTAGAAGAAAATTAAAACAAATGGACTTTTAAATAATTTCTTAAGGCATAAAATAATTAGTGAAGGAGGAAGCGGTAATTAAAACTGAGAAGTAATAATCACGATCTTCTTTTCAGGGACGTCATTAAACGTTAAAACAGTTCTTGACTGCTGTAAGAGAAGGAAATGAGGTTTAGTATTAAAATGATCTTACCAGCAAGAGTGTTCAAAGTGAGAAGTGAGGGCGATAGAGAAAATGGATGAATCATGACGAAATGTGAGATGGAATTGTAATTGTTGGCTGTGATCTTTTGGGTCAATCTAGGCTTACTCCATTTTCATACATAGACTCTGTTTATTATGACTGATTGAGTGGCACAGAATAGCCTTTGAAGAGATGTCGAAACTTAGAGTTGTCACACTTTTAGGCGCAATTTTTATTCTAAAAAAAAAAAAAAGTATTGCTCTTGTGGAATGGCACGCAACGATATATGATTGGTTTGTTGGGATTGGGAGAACCAAGAGACTGAACTGGGAAGGGAGGGTAAGGGTATGTAGGACAATACACCTGAGAGTGAGGAGACAGATTGCTCAAGCATTGTTTGTGGGTAAAGGTGCAGCACAGAGCGCTGGCTGAAATTGCTGGAATGAAATGCAATTGTTAATTAACAAATAAGTAAGCTTTTTCATTGCATCGACAAAGAGTAAATTATTAAAATGGATTCAATTCAATTATAAGAACAGCCTGCTTGTGCAAGAGGGGAGAGCTGAAAGAAGAAAGAAGGAGAGAAAGGTTAAGGCTTGTAGGAAAGGAAAGAGAGAAATATCTGGTTCCTTAAATTTTTAAAACTCGAATTTAAATTAGAAACTTTCTAGTCTTATCATCATTTTTAAATTTCTGACATTTGTTTGTTTTTTTAAAAAAACAGCTTTTTTCATTGACTTCATTTTTGCAAGTGCGCTTGTAGATGGGCGCACTAATGGTTAGTAGGTTTAATAAACGGTGTTAATTAATTAAATGATTGGATTCTCGCCAGAATTGGCTTGGAACTAATATCTTTTAGCTGGGGGTTCCCGCATAATTAACAGAAAGAAAATGAGAAATCGAAAGAGATAGGAATCAAGGTCTCATGGAAATAAGATATTTCACTCAAAACGAAAAAACTTGTACTATCGGTCCGAAATGAAAAAATGGGAAATTCTTGTCAGTTCCCTAACTTCGAAACAAAAATAGTTTTAAACAACATCTTCAAAATTTTTGATTTGTCTAAAATTCATTTGTCTCTACAAGGTCGATTTGCAGGGAATTCCTTCGTTGCCCTCTTGCGCATCAAAGAACATCGTCAACGAACGCATCGCAGAGAACTCTGTGAACACTTCGTCGTGACGTTGAATGATTTTAAAATTAATTAAAAACAGATGTTCAATGGTGAATATGGATAACATTAGCTAAGTGAAACAAATAGACCTCATTACGTCAGACAGTTCGTTTCCCAATTTACTACTGCATCATTGCGCTTTCCTTTTATTTTTTTTATTCCAAATTTCAGAAAACAAGCAATAAAAATGTAGGGAGAGAGCACTTACTGTATGTAAAGTAGCTAAGTGAAACAAACAGACCTCATTATGTCAGATAACTTTTCTTTTCTGGATTCGTCAAAGGTGTAACGGAAAGAGATCGAAGAGGTGAAGACTGTGTGCGATTCAACCCTTTTATGTTATATGTATACATCACATTTCCATCCTCAGAATTTTCGCTATTTTTCAGTTCAAAAGTGTTATGGAAATGAAATGCTCAATAAAATAATTTCTTCTCCAAACTGAAAAAAGTTTTCATTCTAATCGTTTTCTTTTGTCATTAAGAATTGTTGTCCCCCTCACTGTTGTCATGCAGTAGCGCTCTGATTTATGTCACCAACTGTCTCATAGATAAAGCCCGAAGTTATATAATACAATTGAGCGAATATTGATTATCTTAGATTTCGCCAACACTGTTGCAATTAGTAATTTATCACTTGCATTCTTCATATAGATAATTTTCCGGCATAGTAAATGCGGTCTTTCCCATTCTTCAGAAGAGTAAGAGTCAGGATGAGAAGCCATCCTTCAGTAAGTCACAAAAAAGATTTCTGACTTGCAAATTTTGCATTATGTTTCAATAATCACACCTCCACTCTACTTGTTTTCCGACCCGGTCTTTAACCTTATACTCCCGGTTTGTCCCGTGGATTACTTAATTGCAATATTACTAATTCCTCAATTAGTTTTTGTACATTGTAAAACAAGATGAATTTAGCTGTAAAATTCGTTTCCAGTTTTCAATTAACTGAAATGCTCTTTCGTTGTTTCATCTCCTAACAGTCGCTTCGACTTGGACTTTCTCTCTCCTCTTTCAAGCTTGTTTTCTTTGATAAGTCAAGTTGATTGATCACTTCAACAAGTCATTTGCATCAAAGCTCACGTGAACTCAGCCCTATTCTTCACGCATCTATCTTCAACTTTATTGACTTCTCCTTTAGTTAGCATCCACGCGCCTTGCTAACATATACGACATCATCATCATTCTCTATTTTGCTCTAATCTTTGCCATTGCGAGGTAAAGGATATTTGTTTGAGTTATATACTGCTTTGCTAGGATAACTTTCTAAGATGATCATTGACTTGCGTGGCGTATTTGTCCAGTGTTCCATCGGACTATGATTTCGCTGAATCTATCATGTTTTCTGCTGTCACTCAACAAGTCGAATATTTCAAAGAGTGTTTAAATTGATTGTTCACTTTATTTGTTTAAATTTTTTTTTTTTTTGATTGTTCACTTTATTGTGTTTTTAAAGAGTGTTTAAATTGATTGTTCAGACTTTTCCATGGAAAAGTCTGAACCACAGATATTCAGACCTGACACTAATTTTAAGGTAAAAGCCAGTAGTAGGAAAATGAAGGAAGGAAAAGGTTATTCTAATTAATTTTTTTATTGTTCACTTTATTCTACGTCGAGAAGAGAAAGAAATGACGCATTTGTGCATTTATGCGGATATTTCTCATTTTTAAAATCGTTCAACAATTATGTCCGTATTTTAACCACAATATTGTATTCGTAGATAAGTTTTTTTGGGTTGTCACAAATCTTTCTCCTGTAGCCACTCGACAATCAACAAATGCTCTCAAATTGCACTAACCTCTACCGCTGCACAGTGATCGCTCTCTCAAGCATTGGATTTAAATCACTTTTTTTGTTTACTAGCCAAAAAGGCTCAGTCAACTGAAAGGAACTCTGCAACTCTGCTGTTCTCACCTTTTCTCACAGGGTAAGTTGCGGAATATGTTTGGTCATATTCATGATAACTACTGATATTTTATTATCAGTTATGAGTATTTCTTTCAATGGCTCAGTAATTAGGTAGTAATTTATTTTGCTTTTTCCACCTGTTGCTTGGCTGATCACTGCTACTTTGTTTCCTTTGCTTGAAATGGGAATTCCTTTTTTCTACTTTCATTATTATCATTATTTAGAATGGTAAAAATGACATTTACGGAAGCCATGGAAAAGTTTGAATTATAGATATTAGTTCAGACTTGACACTAATTTTAAAGTAAAAGCTAATAGCAGAAAAATGAAGGAAGAAAAAGGTTATTCTAATTAATTCTTGTAGACCTCCCAAACATTTCTGGTCCTACTTCTGCTGTTCCTTTTCCGGAAGACTAAACCCATAGGAGACTCATTATTCATATCCAATTATAAGTTCCTTTTCTGGATTAACTAATTCGATGATGTGCAAAAAGCTTGGGGAAGGCAAAAATCCGTAGATGCTGAACTTTTGGAAAATCAGAAGAACATATTGATTTAGCTTGCCACAAAATGGTTGGAATGAGTTAATGGATGCGCAACCGGATCCGGTTAATACTCATCACCTCAAGTGAGATTCATCAGTTGCATTACTATCAATTTCTATTGCTTTTTTGTTTCCGCCTCACCATAAAATAAATTGGTTTCTCTGTAGAAATGAACTCAGTGCAAATGCTGAGTTGCTGCTCTTTTCTGGAATATCTGCTCCTTCCGCAATAAAATTGTTTAACTGTCTGATCACAGAATTTGACTCATCAATGTTTCCCTAAAGCAAATATTGAAAGAAATACTGTGCCATCAGTTTTCTTTAGACTTTCAAATTGTTTCTGTTAAAGTCCAATGTTTGAATTTCAAACTTTACAAACTTTTCCGGAAATGGAATTCTAATTTGCTGAGATTTCAGGACAAGCAGTTTTCACTGCTTTTAGAATTTAATTTGGTTAAATGAAGCACATAAATGTAAATTTAGCCTAGTTTTCAGGTTATTGAATACTACTAATTCTGTTTTTAATCTGCAATATTATGAGTCCCACTCATTTTAATTCCCTCGAAATACAGATAGGGAAAAACTAATTATTTGCATTCTTAAAACAACAGAAATCTGGAAATATTTTCTAAATCTGACAGAAAATGGCAGAAAATTACGTCGACGTCGTATTCAGATTCCTTCAGATGTGGTCTTCTGATCGGAGAGATTTTACAATACGAAAATCGTTACACAGTTAGGAAGGCCTCTTTTCAGGATGGCTTATAAGAGACTTTGAGAGGCAAATAGATGACTGCTTTATTTGGAAAAGAAGGGAGGGAAGAGGGAAAGAGGGACAACGAAAGAAATGCAAGAAATCATAGGAGTAATGTGAGTGGACGGAAACCGTGTGTGTTTCAGGAAAATCTTGTGCAGTGTGTGTCCACAGAAAGTTAGTGAAGAGGGGAACTGGTCGGCATCAGATGTTACCTCTACCGTTTAATCAAACAGACAAAAATTCCTCGTACACTGGGCTTTTGGCATGTGCTTACCACGTCTCTATTCGATATAGTTTGGAATTCCTTCTCCATCGAATGATCGACAAAATATATAATGGTAAAGCCTTGAGCTAACTCTCTCTCCTCTCCGAGATGTCCTTATCAGTAAAACATTTGACCCTTGTGATAACTTCTGCTCTTTCAATCAGTTCGCTTTAACTTCAGATTTTTCTATGTTTGCTTCCTTTCCCGATGCTTTCTTCATGAAGAGGTAAACGAAAAGATGAAATGTTGGTCGGGGACGGACAATGTGCCACTCATCCTACGTATCAGTCACTACCGCAGCACTGTTTCCATACGAAACCATGTCCCAAGGTCATTTCAGGAGAAAAAGCCTAATCTAAAACGCACTTAGCTTTGGTGCAGTCATAAATAAAAAAGTATAAAAGTGAACAATTATAGGAGAAAGACAGTGAGTCGCTGGCGTATTGCAGTAGGAATACTATCCGATGTTCTGAAAATGGGCTGTTGCCTACCCTTGTCCGCACCTCTGTTTAAAATTGCGTAAGGCGTTCTTGCTTGTCCTGCTTGGACAGTCACCGCGTTGTGCTGCCAGGACCCTGATGACAGGGTGATTGGTGGTGATAGCGATAAATTAATGCATAGATGGTTATCAGAAATGTGATATCCGATACCACTACTACTAGAAGTAGCAATCTCTGAGTCACTGAAAGGGGAGAGAGATGTGAACCCTGGACCTAGGTAAGAACGAGTGAAGCTTTTCATCTAAACCTAAAGTAGGAAGAAGTGACTGAGAGAAACAACAAGGTGAAACTTGGAAGGAGGAAAATTGGAGGACAAGATAGGAAAGATGGATGTAGATGAGACACCACATATCTTTTTTGAAAATGCTGTTTGAAAGTACTATGTTAATTTATGATCAATAACAAATTCTTTCTCCCTTCCCCTCCTTGCCTTCTCTCTCTTTCTCTTCCTCTCTGATGACAAAGACAAATACTGAGAGAGAGAGGGATGAGTGGCAAAGTAGATATTTATAAACAAATTTAGATGGGGCCTGACGTCTTATAGCAATCATACGATCACAACGTTCTGTGATCTCAAACAGAGAAAGGAAAGGTTTTTGCGGGAACACAAGAAGGATGGTGGTGTTGCTTTCGACATTTCGATGGACGTTTGTGTGTTCTGTCTGTCACCACATACCACGCTCGACCGGCCCCCTGATTTGTAGTACATTCCGCGCAAAGCCATTCGCATTATGAATATGTTTACTTGCAAGTGCGTAGAGATGCGGTTATTTAAGTAGGTGCACAGTCAGCAACTCTATCGTGCTGCGCTGTATTGGACATCAGCGCCAACGCTTAGCCTGAAGATGCCAACTGGTATCACCCGCGACAAGAAGGAGGGCTCAATGTTCTTTCTCTTCGTTTTGATGGTTGCAATGACTTGCCATCGTTGCGTAGCGCACGTGGTAGTGGCAAATGAACAAGGCTTGCCACATACGAGATGTCATTACATTAACACTCCCAGAACTCTCCCACTATGAGTCATCGTTACCTCACACACAAGGCTACAAGAAAAGGAAGGAACGGTTTGCGAAATGACGTGCACAGTAGACTTCCCGCTCCAATGAAGTAGCGGCACACTCGACATTCGTGATTGCGCAGGGATCACAATGGTGTTGTTCGTTCAGTATGATGCGGTACTGATCAGTCTTCCATGGAAGGCGACCCTATCAGTTATGCAAAAATTCGCATTATTGTAGTTTCTGATATGGCACGAACAAAGTACACATTTCTTTCTCTCTCTTACCCATTTAAAATGATAACCCAAATAGTGCAATGGGAAGGGGAGGGCAGGGCAGTATACATGATTTGGGGTAGAAATATTCCGGGATGGTTGCATTCTGTGTGTGTGTGTGTGTCTGTGTGTATGATAGATGATAGTTAATACAGATTGCTGTTGAATGCGGTTATAACCATTTTGACCGTGAAAGGGTGCGGAAAATCATTCATGTTACTGACGAGTTGCGGGCAGAGAAAGGTACAATCGCAAGTTCCCCGACGGATTTACAGGATGGGAAGGACCGGAGGGGTGTGCGTCTGTGGCGGAGGAATGTGCGCGCTGCTTGGATGATCAATGACGGTGGTGCAGCAGGTGTCGTCCTCCTATCGACGGGATTCTTCCTGGCTCGATGAGAGCTGAAAGGGGTAGCCCCGTTCCTCTCTCCAGCATCATTATTTGCCATCTCTGCACTGCAACATAAAATTTTACATATGCGCTGATGACGTCATAGCACACTTAAAATTTCATCTATAGGATGGGGAGAGTGGGTGAGAAAGAGAACAGTTAGGGAGAGTCGGTAAGACGCCCGGTGGATATTCTCGCTTTGGAGTGAAGTTCGCATCCTTTCGAAAAGGTGGGAGGGCACCCTACCCTCGGCCATTTCACACTGCTTGCTTACTTGTCTAGGAAATTCGTCTTTCTCCTGCCCTTCAGAGCTGCCTGCCGTGCTGTCCTGCCCTACTTTAGGCATGGTGTCCCCGTTGTTATCCAGGCCTAGGCTCTCCCTGGCTTGCAGCCTCACAATCCTCATATTACACCTAGCAATAGGCATACTTATTCCCTTTACAGGTATTCCATAATGAATTCTCTTCACCTCTCGCGCTGTTGGTTATATCGGCAGGAAACATAGTCGGAATGTCGCTGACTCCTTTGTCACCACCCACGTACTCTCCCGTAAAACATTTGTAAATCTTTTCCAAACACACAATTTGCAAGCATTCTAGATTTACACATACACACATAGACACACACGCACACAACTCCATTGTGAGAGCACGCAGCGATCGAACATGTACCATCGTCCGGCCTTCCTGCCAAGCCCTCGCTGTTGTCGTCGTAGTTGTCACCGATTTCTTACCGTTTTGTTTCAACGTATTATTCAGGAAGGACCACACTATGTTACGCACTTTCCTTCTCTGTCCAAATATGTATATTTAAGAGATGGATGATATATATATATATGTATGTATATGCCTGTGTCGTCGTCTTGTCTACCCCATAAGTGTGTGCGACACAACACAATTTGATGCTTTGTTGTTGACATGTCTATGACATAGTTTTCATCAAATAAAACTAATTTAAAGTTGCAGTGTGCGATAAATGGAATTTGACAGGGCTAGCAGTCCAAGCTTCTCATTCTTACCCTTGTAGGTGACGGTTCACGGAGCGAAAAGGAAGATGTTATAAGTTAGAATAAACAACGTCCCGCAAATGAGTTGAATGAATTATTTACCAGCGTTTCACTGCATCGCTGTAGATAGTGCTTGTCACACCTGGCGTACCTGGGAGATGCTCCCCCTACCTGCACATCACATTTCTACGATGTAGGAAGGAAGTTGTTCAACTTCCAGTTGTACTGCCGTTGCTTGTTGCTTCTTTTTCTCTCGTCGCCTTTTATCTTTCGCCACTTTCATTCTTCAAAAACTTCCTCTCTTTTCAATTGCGCGAGTGTCATTGCAGTGTTTGGTAATGCTGTGAGAGAAGGGAGAGGAAAGAGATAGATGAACACAGGGTATCATTGTTTAGAAACGTATCATTGTTTACTAAGGTCATCCAATGAAGGTCAATAAGTCATCAGAAGGTTGAGAAGTTGGTGCACATGGAGTGGCAGAGGTTAGTCTTCTCCCAAAGCCTGTTACATGTTTGATTCTACGGGTGAAGGGAAGAGAGATCCTAAAATCCTACGCCAGTCTTGTAAGTGTCACCGTCTTTTTGGGTGGACATAGTTGCATTATCGTAAACAACGCTATCCTGTCAATATTCTGCTTTTGCCTCCTGCAATTCTACAGCAGGTGGTGTCAGTCAACCCAGTAATTTTGTCAAAGAGGTCACTGATTTGATTACATTCTTCTGTTTGTCGCTGTTTACTTCAACTTTGTCTGCCGTGCGGGAGGATTTTCAGTAAATGTTTGTCTGTTTACTGCAGTTTGTTTCTCCAGTTTTGTCCACTCACTGTTGCTCTCACTATTCGCCCTTCTGTTAATTTTCACCGAAATAGAATCATTGAAGGATTAGTGGTTTAATCTGTTCGTGTAGCTTCTGTTTTGTGACGCTGTGGATGGATGTATCGATGACTTTTTTGGACTTATTGGACTATCTGATGAGTCACTCCGCCCATTTCATCTCTTTATTTATTACTTATCAGTTAGTGTTGGTGACCCTTGAATTGGTGGCTCTTCATCGTCTTTTTCTTTGGCTCAATTTACGCTGATTTCTTTCTTTATTAATATTTGCTGGTAAGGTTATGTTTCTGTTGTCTTCGCTTTCACCATTGGCAAGTAATGCTGAAATTATTCCGGAATGGTTATTGAGAGACAGAGAGTAGAGGAATGAAATTAGTTGATGTTCATTGGTTGTTCACTGCGGAAACTACTCCGGACAATTGAAACCGCGGTAGTTTGAAAGATGTGGGTTTGATCATGCTTTGATTAAATTTTAGGTCTGTTTTCTTACAAGTATTTGCTGTTATTGTGAAGTTCACTACTGTCCGATCGGAAGATACATACTATTATTCTTAATATTATGAATAACTGAAATAGATGGAGGTCTTGCTAAAATTAAGTGAGAGGTTGAGGAGGTGGACGATATCACTTAGGAAGTCGAGATGTAGTCAGTATGAGGAAGTCAGCTGAAGAAGAAAGCATTGTTGTCCTTCCGGAAAAGGAAAGATTGCTGGAGAGAATTATATTAGATATAATCCTACTTCGTGCTCTCATCTTGCTTACCATGGCAACTACTCAGCGGTTGTTGTTTTAGTTTACGGAATGATTTCAGGAGGTTAAACAACAGCCGCACAGATCCGTAAAGGGCAGCGCTGATACCACTAACTTCTTACTATGCAACTTCCATTTGCAATTAATCGATTCCAGCGGAATGAGCAACTAGGCGGATTTCATTATTGACTTTGGTTAATAACAGGAAGAGGAAGGCGTGTCACACCACTGTGACATTCTCGAGTGGGAGTCTTCCATTTATTCCAGATTTACTTACACTTCCATTTTTTGAAGAGTTTTTTTTGGGAGATTCTAGGAAAGCTTCCAACTTCGACAAGAGCGGAGACGCGTCGCGGTTGTTACATTGTTGTGGGTTTCCCGAGAAACTGTTAGACATTACTCACTCTGTGCTCTCTCTTTGCCTCCCTCTCCCAAGATTCTTCTGCTTCCCTTCATCCTATCTTACATTTTCTAAAATTAATCCAATTGTGACAGTTCGTGTCACAGAATGGAAGTCGATAATGATCGATGATTAGTAATATGCCGTCCGGCCGTTTACTGTATACCTAGCGTCGATCTGTTAGCAACGTTTTACTCCAATCTTCAGACGACGGAGAGCATAGAGGACGGACGTATGAATGACGTGTCTCGGGACTCTGCACTCTCTGCCTGCTCTCTGTCTCGCTCTCGTCGACTGCTTGCGAACAGCGAGGGGTGAGGGGGCGGGGGTGAGAAAGAGAGTGTTCGCCTTCTCTCCGTGGGAACAATGATGCGCGTGACGTCATACTAGGTACAAGACTAGTCCCCAACCTCTCCACTGCTACCCTTACACTTGCACTTTTTCTTTGATGGTCTGACGTGTGTACTCTCGGTGCCTGTGCTCTCGCCTTCCTTCCCATATTGGCTCTGCTCACGCATGCGTATGTAGGAAGCAATGCTGTCGTCTGGCTAAGTACTATTTAGGGCGTGCTTGCTGATATACCGCTCTAGCCTACTTGAAGAAGTGTGGCGTCATTTGGCTGCAGCATTGGATGCTGAGCAGAGGAAGAGAGAGAGAGAAGAGACTCCCACGATTGATGGCAGAGAAGGGAAGACAGCATCACATCTCCCTGTTCCCATGCTGCCTCCCTGACCAGCTCGAGTGGTCTCTGTGCGCACTCTCACTGCACATTCCTCCTCCCTGGCTGAGTGAGCGACAACACCGGGACAGAACTCTCCAGCTCGCTCCATCTCGCTGCTGCGTGTCGTGGGGTTGCTGTATGCCTCTCTACGTGTACTACACGTGACTCACTCAACTTCCCTAGGTTACGTAAAATCATCGGCTTTTAATTCACATGTCGAATCTAACATAGTAAACTATCAAATCCTTGTTCCTTTTGTTTTTAGTTATCACGATGCTCAGAAGGAGGGTAAATTTTGTGGGTTTTACATGTTTGATTTTAAGGGCTCAGTCAATTGTGCTAAAATGTAAATAATGATTTTCCTATCCTTGTCACATTGTTTTTGTAATCATTAGTGATGATTGCAGTGCCATGTTAACGCTTGGGTACTGAGATTGTTCTGCTACATCCGGGTGCTTCCCGCGGAGAGTCGGTTCCCGCATAATCTGCAGTACGATTTGGGGTGTGTTGACAAAAGAGTGTTAATGTTGGTAGCTATGGGAAGGGAAGGGAAAGAAAGAGGGAGCGATCCAAATTATTTTGCCGTTTATGCAGGAAAGCAAAGACCTATTGCCCTCCCCTTTATGGCACCGTACACTCCCATACATACATACATACACACACACACACAACCAAGAAGCCGTTGATGACATGTTGGCATTTTTGGTGCTTTTTTCCTCCTGAAATACTGACTGACGGTGTTTGTAGATGCATAGAGGATAGCATGGGAGGATGAACAGTTCGAGAGAGAAAAACCTTATTTGTTATGCGTAATGTGTCATTGAAACGGACGCTTTGACGTAAACCTCACACAGGATTGGTTTACCCCATTTTTATTGTGTTTACTTAGAACCGTTATCACTGCAAAATAAGTTCAGTCTTACCATTAGTTGTCTTCAGAAAGAGGCTTCTAGATGAATGACATTCTCTGCGGCTGTCACATCCCATTGTGGTAGATCAGATTTCACCAACCATACACGCATTAATCAAAACTTATTAAATATCAGGCGTATGAAGTTATCTTGTTGCGTCGAGTCCTTGTTTCTTAAGTTTAAATTTACCCGTCAATCACATAACGCAATATTGAGGAAGAATCAACTGATGCAGTTTGTCTTTTTAATCTTTCCATTATCCACTATGTTCTATCCGCTTTATTCATCATTCCTGTGTCCGTTATTGTCATTCGGCTACTACATCACTCGGTGCTCATCCTGGGATGTTACACTCATGTATTATTATTCTATTATTGCTCATTAGCAATTTAAAAGTTGATTGTGCTCACTGGACAGATGGGAGAAGATGATGTGTTATTGAGGGATTTGTGTCACATTTTCCACTCTCTATTCCCGGTAGTAATTTGTAGAAATTACATCACTTTCCATTTCGTATTTTCTTTTCATCCCCTATTTCTTTATCAATAAAAATCATCTAGGACAGAATTGCTTACTTTTCTTTCGTTCTGGGTACAATTGATAAAGAGATGTGTCAGAGAAGAAAAGAAAAACTTGTACTGACCGCTTCAGGTCAATGTACTTTTTCTCACAGTCATGGATGGGTTGGAGAGGTGAAATAACTATTGAAATTTATCACAAAACCAGCATACAGTTACGCACACAGTTACGTGCTTTTGCTTGCGTGTTTTAAATTTGTTTAAATTTAAATTTTATTTACGTGCGCGCACCACTGTAACTATGGTGTGGTGTACACGTAATATCCAAGACTGTAAAAGGACAGTGAAGTGAAAAAAGTCTTTAAAAGAATAGCATGTTTGTTACACGTATCACTGTTTTCTCCAAAATATCATCGCTTACATTTTCTTAAAATAAAGCGAGTTATGGTGAGGTGAGGAAAATTATTAGAAAGCACCGAAGCTTTTGCTTTCTTTCAAGATTTTCTTAAATCCTCTACTTTCATGGCTGTATCTATCTGCTACTCGATACAGTGGACACTACAGTGACATTTTGTTCGAATGAAACTGATGAACCTTACTCCGCCTCTATCTCCTACTACTCAGTGAGACATAATGAAAGGATTCGGATGACGGTCATCATTTCTCGGTGTTCAAACAATCGATACCTCGAGATGTGAGACGTTTCTTTCTCAACGACCATATATTGCTTTGCTTTTACCATATCCTTCTGTTTTTACCTCTGTTAGGGGTCCAGAAAAGAAACAAAGACAAGAAGGCTCTATCTCTCATAGTATCCAAAGATTCAGTGTTTGTTTTTGTAAAGAACTGTTACTAAGACATCCTTTGAAGTTATTTCATTTCAAGTTCCGCGTCAAGTAATTCTTTATGTGCGGTAAGCCTGAATTGATAAGTGGAGAAGTATTAAAACTGATTAGTAAAGTAGACTGGAACACTTATCCCTTACAGATTACTTGTCTTTGTCTCGATTTATTCGGCTCTCATCCCACTTGTTTGGTTGGGATACTACTGCTGTTATTCTATTCCTTCAAGTAAACAAATAGGCACTAATTATTTGTGCATCACCGTTCTATGCTGCGTGACTGATTTCGTTAGTAGCGTTATCCGGGAATGGACGCGTAATATCGAGAAATTTCCCCACTCTACTTCACCTGATTCTTTAATATGCTTATTCCCATCTATCGCTTACCGCAAAGCAGGGAATGGACTACTATTGCCCGACTAATTTCGAATCACAGTGTGGTGAATAGAGCTGAAAATAAATTCGTTCCCACTGATTCACATGAATTCATGCAGAAAGTGCAAGGAGAAAGATAATTAGCAGTAACAGTTCTGTCCTTTCGAGTTCAGACTTGCTCTTCGTTCTACATCTACCGCTCCACTGTGACAGCAGCGCTGATGGCGCTAACGACCTTCATAGTAACTGATGATTGTAAGCGCTCTTCTTTCTTCGATCTTTTGTGCAATATGCTAGTGCTATCAGAGCATTATCAGCAGTACAACTGTCAGGTGTAGTTGCATCTCACTGCACAGATATCTACTTCCACCCCAAAAAATCAAACTCTCATTTATTTTGCACACCATAATTCAGCGGTATCTTGAGAGAGAGAAAAAAAAACATGCTTAAAAAGTCTTCGACATTCCAGTGTCTAAAGTCTAATTTTTTAAATTGTGAATTAACCCTCAATCAGTGGCCTAAGGTAAGGATTATGTGCATATGAGTGAGAGCAGAGTGTTATGAATTACTATGAACTATGACGTAGTAATTTTGTTAAGTCGGAATTTAATTCAGTGAGATTTCTTCCAGTTGAATTGCTTTTTTTATGGGGAATTTTGTCCATCAGATCAAACATTTGGTCGAAATCAGCTGACTGAAATTTCATAGTTGCAGTGAATTAGTTGCTACTGAAATAGATTAATGTTGATAATCGTTAATGAACTTGCGTTCATCCTGACTGTGAATTTGAAGGTATTACAAACGATAGTCATATAGAAATGATTTGATCCAATAATTGTTCATAACGTTAATGAACTGTTTCCATGATCGGATGTTTGGAACAGGAAAAAAGGACTTGTTTTCAGGATTAATAATTTTGCTAGGAAAACGAGGAAGAAGGAGGAACTTCATCATATAACTATTTTCATGTGAGTTTTAATCAACTTTTTCCCGACATTTAATTTCTGGTTGAGATGATCCAAGGATATTTGCATAAATGTTCGTAGATTCCAAAAAATAACAGTAAGAAATTATAGATGTGTGAATTATACGATAATTATCAAAAGTTGGTCGCAAATGATTGGTACGAAATCACCTTCCCTTAAAAAAATCAGAATCACCCATTTTTTTCATAAACAAATGGTATATTGCTGATAGTAAAGAGAAAAGATCATTTGGAGTTCTTGAATTGATCAAAAGATTTTGAAATAATAATAAAGTCAGTCTCAAAATTTGAATCGGTTTTGCTCATTTTCAATTTCAAAAAAAATTACTGCAGCAGTTACATCTACCGCGCCTTGTGTGTTCTTTCCTGTAGCGGGAATACGACAGTCTTATCCTCTTATTCATTAACGCCTTTGTCTGATGTTCATTTTTATGTATTCCATAATTCATTTCATTGTCCTTGTGCCTGTCCTCTAGTGCTAGGTGGATATAAATCATTCACAAATTCAGATTCTGAAGATAATTAAGTCAGCTAAATTGTTTCTTGAAGTTTATATCCGAGAAGTTTTTGGGCCTTTCATGAACCGGAAATTGATACTTGCTGCTACTGAGTGGTAATGCTAAAGAGGGTAAATGATGAAAACAATCATATAGAATTTAAGTTCGACGAATAAAACATTCATATTTTTTTTAGATATGCTAAAATGCCGGTTTCATACAATTTATAGCAAACTGTGTACGGACGGGAAAGGGAAGGTGTGAGGTAAAATTTTGAATATTTGCAAAATGATTTCTTTTCCATTCAGTAGCCGATTTAATTTCGAGACGTTCATATTCGATGTTTTTCGCTTATCAATATAAATTTATATTTTGATGAAATATAATTTTAATTTTACAGCAAATTTTTAATTCTTTTCATATATATTAGTAATTATTGTTACTATTGCTATTATTCTTACTGTTGTTGTTATTTTTATTGTTTGTCACCAGTAATTATTATGATCATTGTCGTTATTGCCAGTACTGTCATTATTATTTATTGCTGTTTATTTAACAGTGTAATATATTTTTCAGAAATGGCATTTGTATCCGGAGTGGGAGGCGGTGGTGGCGGTGGAGCTGGAGCTGGAATTGGAGGAATAGGAAATG